TTATATCATAAATATCTTAGGCCATCAGAATCTCTTCTAAGGTTATCTACTGTGTTCTAATACAAACTTTGTCTTTATTTATTTATTTATTTATTTATTCATTTTAAGCATAAAGGAAATACAAACACTGAATTTATTTTGACTGAAATAAACTGAGATCAGAACAAAGTTCAGAATTGCAAAAAAAATGAGTGAGAAGTACCCTAAATATCCAAAATATTAAGCATGGTTGGTAGTAACTATATTTATGTACATCTATATAATGAAGTGAACATATGTACATGTTTTTATTTTAATCCTTTAAACAAGGTCCTAAGAAAAGAAAATACAATATATTTTAGTATGTATTCAAATATACTAAATTTATGAAGAAAAAGATATGTTCTGAAAGTTCTGCAATCACCATAGGAATTGGCTTTTAATTGTATGTATATTTCATAATTCATTTCTGTTTCTTGCTTTTATTAGGAAATTCATATGTCATAGCTTATTTTAGATGATTGTTCTTACACAGTGAATATTTCTGGCATTTTTTATATATTGATTATGAAGCTTAATTATTGCATATTTTGTATATTCCTATAATATGAAATATATGTGTAGATATAAATAAGCATTTATGGAAAAAGTTTTCTGCTATTACTTTAAGAAATTATTATATAGTCAGTTTACATTAAGTAATGTGATAGATTATTTTTAAAAACGTCATATATATTTGATTTGTAATAAAATTTAGTCACTGTTTCTGAGCTTCCAAATAAAGATATAAAATATTAACAATACTGTAGTGATATATATATATATATTACAGTTTTTTTGTTGGATTATTATTGTCTTATTAAAGAAATGTTTTATTCACCTAAAATAGGACAAATCAATTACAAACAAAATGAAAATATATATTATGGCCACAATCATATAATCAAGCACTATGGAAGTTAAAAAGTCTAACAAAAATTATAAAGAGAAGTTCTTCAACTGGTAACCAGTAAACATAATTTTCACTTACATACGCTCTTGTGCATAAGATAAGGCACGTATGAACAGTTAAGAACTTAGAGAAAAAGTATCTCTATGGTATCCTTTTTAATATCTTTATGACTTATGAGGGAGACAACAATTTGTAGTGCTGGGGATGGAACACAGGGTATTAATTCTTTAATTGACTTTCAAGATATACTAGAACTTTTTTTCATGGATTGGTCTTTCAGTAAATAAGAGAAGGCATATGTTGAACCTAGAGTAGTGCTATACTTGCTAACATATAATTTTGTTACTTTTCCACAGTTGTTACTGGAACATCAAAAAGTGCAAATAAGTGTTAAAGTGTTTTTTTCTGCTTGGTAGAATATAAATATTCCTGAGGATATTACAAGTAGTACAGCAGGTGTTCAAAGGCATTCTTCTAAGGGCCTTGGTTTATCAGTCTGTACTATGTATAAGCCTGCCTTTGGTGGCCCTTAATTCTATCTTATTTTTCCAACTTCCATTAGGATGGAAGATGTTTGCATGACAGAATTGAACAAAACATCTTATCATATCTACTTCTACTCATTTTGTTGTTGTTGTTAAAGGTTATTGTCTTAAAAGAATGGCTCTGGGAAACAAATCATTAATCACATGGAAAACTGTGACATTAATATCATGTAAGCTAACCTCTTTTTAAAATAAAACATAGCAATAATTGGGTATAAATAAATGAACCCTTAAATATGTTAAAGAATTTCATTTGAATGAGTGCCAGATGAACTGTTTATCTACATTATCTCATCAATAAAACTTGGGAGTCAGATATTAGAGTAAAAGTCTGATTGATCAAAAATTGATGGAGAAGTGACCAGTGACTTCCCCTCTCTCTTTCCTCAATCCAAAAGGATCTTTGAATCTAAGCCTCTCCCTACCACTTTCTGTGTCTCTCCATATGTCCTCTTTCCTCCAAAAATCTCTATAGATAATTTGGTTAGCTAGCAGCTAGATCTGCCCTCCAATTCAAGGTAAACGTTATTGTCAGTCCCAGGAGTGTAAAGAGTGTGATCAAAATATCCCACAACAACGTATAATGCATCCCTGAACAGATTTGTGCTTTTTTCTCTAATTCGTCCTCGCTACAACAAGAATAACCTTTCCTCAACAGCAAGTGCACTCTGGCAAAGGTCAAGATGCCTGGCTTCATTGGAAAACCTTGTTTGTTCTTCTCATCACAGATCCAGACTACATAACCTCTCCACTCTTCTTCACCCAGAGCATCAGCAGCGACATCTGTGGCCAAGTACTTCTCAGAAAAAGTACAATGTTCGTGGTCACTGTCTACTTCCATGACTTTCTGATAGCTGGTGGCTAAGGAGACATTCAACTTCACTTTGGCATGGCCAATCACCTAGGAATTTCCAGAAAAAAAAGAGCTTCTTGGGGACTGTAACAATAATATGTTGCAAACAGGAAATTCAAAAAGGAACATGCCTTCATTTCTTCAGATTAGTTTTGCAGAATTTTCCTAGTAATGTAACAAATTGTCAATGAAAAGGTCTCAAAACTTGAATGAATAGCCAGGTGGTGGTAGCACATGCCTTTAATCCCAGCACTTGGGAGGCAGAGGCAGGCGGATCGCTGTGAGTTCTAGGCTAGCCTGGTCTAAAGAGCTAGTTCCACAACAGGCTCCAAAAGCTATGGAAAAACACAGTTTAACCAATAGTCATCATTGGTGGATGATGACTTAAACTACTGGTGGATAAAACTGTAATAATTTAAACTTAACAGCTGACAAAAACAAAGTAAACACTAACCGTGTTTCTCCTTACATAATGTGGTGGTTTGAATGAGAAAGGTCCCCCATATTTGAAACTATGATCACCAGTTGGTGGTGCTGTTTGGAAAGGTTATTGTACAGGTCACTGTACAACTTTGCTGGAGGAATTACGTCACCAGGGACAGGTATTGGGAGTGTATAGCCTAGTCCCACTTTCATTTTGCTGGGTGTGCTTCATGTTTGTCATGCAAGATGTGATCTCTCAGCTTCCTGCTCTTGCTTCCAAGCCTCCCCCTGCCTTGATGGACTCTTTCTTATCTCTCTGGAATGGTAAACCAAAATAAACTCTTTATAAATTGCTGCTGGCCATGGTGCTTAATCACAGAACGGGAAAAGTAACTAATACAGAAATTGGAACTAGAGAGCACGCTGTCGTTGAATGCAGCACAGCTCGGAGGTTAAGCCATCTAAGTCTTTGAAAGTAAAGTCCCATGTTGCTGAGACCTAATGTCTTCCTCAGGGGAGAGGGCAAGACGGCTCGATGTCAACAACAGACTCAAGGAGTCCGGTGAAAGGGACACAGCAGACTTGTTTATGTAGCAATGGGGAGAACCTTATATACCCTCCTAGCACACAGGCATTCCGATCCATTGACAATGTAGGGCCACCCCTCATTGGCCAGGCATGATCAGGACCTCTGACAGCACCAGGCAGACTCCAGGTTGGCTCCTTTTAGCCTGGTAAGCATTAACTTCCTATAGATCTAGACATTAGACAGGGAGCTACAGGTTTTGCTTGTTTGCCCTGCTAAGTTTCAGTCTTTCTGCAGTCCACTACTTCCTCACTATGCTCTTATTCCTCCCCTTTAAAATGATGTTTATTTTGTGCCATTAAATGTTAGAAGTCTGCTAATTGCTTTTAGATTTATAGGTGGCTAGAGTTAAGGGATTGCCTTGAGTCTCACAAGAGATGTTGGACTTTGAAATTTGAAATGGTGTTCATACTGAGAAAGACTATGGTCACCTTTAAAGTTGAAATAAACATATTTAACATTATGATATGGCCACAGGCCTATGGGAGCCAGGGAGAGGATTGTGGTGGTGTGAATGAGAAATCTTGTCCACAAGTCCATGCATCTGAATACTTGTTTCTCAGTTAGTGGTGAGGTTGGGGGAAGTTATGCTAATGTGAGAATTTGCTGAACAAAATATGGCACTGGGGTGGGTTTTGAGAGCTTATAGCCCTGTCCCATTTCCAGTCTGTTTGCTCTGCTTTGTATTTACCAGTGAAGATGTGACAGCTCAGCGTCCTGTTCCTGCTGCCATGCCTCCCCTCTATGATGAACCTGCATCCCTCTGGAATCCTAAAGTAAAATAACTCCTTGCATCCGTAAGTCATTTTTGGGAGATGGTATTTTATCAAAGCAATAGAAAAATAACTAAAGCACATAGTGAAAAACCCATGAATCATAGCAAATGAGCTGGGTGTGATAGCATACACCAAGAGACCACGGCTGAAGGATCACTGAGTCTGAGACTACTCTGCATTACATATTCCCACTCTGACTTTAAAAACAATCCTACAACAAAACTAAACAAAATGGGCTGGGTATATGGCCCAAGAGTTAAGAGCACTGGCTATTCTTCTGGAAGGGCTGGGTTCAGTTCCCAGCTTCCACATGTTGGCTCACAACTGTCTGTAACTCCAGTTCCAGGGGATTCAATGTCCTCTTCTGGCCTCTGTGGGCACCAGGCACACAAGTATTATTACAGTTATACATGCAGGCAAAACAATCACATACAAAATAAAAATAATTTTTAAAAGTCCTATAGAAAATGATACAGCCTATTTTGTGACGCTTGGGGCTATGTAAACATATTAAATAAACATGCTTTCCTTGTTTTTATTTTTACAACATCACATTTCATCACAATGACTGAAAATTCCCTAAAAACAAAGCCTTTATTCTGACAAAATTACTTTAGTTAGTAGGTGCTAGATGTTTTCTCTACTATTTGAGGAAGACATATAATATAAAGAAAATTAATGCTAGCTTTGTCAAAGACATCTACAAAAATATGTCCCTTACACCTTTACAAATAATATTCCGAATTATAAAATCTGCCAATGTGGAAATTCCCTGGAATTTCTTAATGCACTGCAAATTACACAAGGCAAAATAAAGCATCATATATAAATAATGTTCAAACATTCTGGCATGTATAATGTTTTTCTCACTAGAGTGCAACTTTATATACAAACACAGAGGCTGTTTCAGACACACGTGGAGGAAACAGAAGCACCAGTTATTTAAGTTACACTTGATCACGAAGACGAGCAAGCCTCTGTGACAGTTCATCCTAGAGAAAGCCAAATTTACAAATCATCGAAGGCTGTAACAAATATGAACCATTAAAACGTGTAATCCCCTTAACATTTTAAATACAATTTAAAATCTTGTTTATAAAATTTATATAAACATTAGGCATTTAGTTTTCTTAAACAGCTAAAAAGAAACTTAAAAACTTAGAACAGCAACTATAAAGATTATCAAAACAGTCTACAAAATAAAATGTGCATGCAAATTGAAAACGCCCACTATTACACAGCTATTGGCTGTTCCGGTTTTGTTCATTTTAATGATGTGTCATAGTAGAAAAATACTCTTTATAAAAAGTGAATATATATTTCCTTATATACAAATATATACATATCTTATAAATCATACATTTCCCAAATTTTTAATTTAAATATGAATAAGTATATTAATAAAAAAATTCAACCTCTACCTGCTCCGTAGAAGCAACACTTGCACCAACAGAGCCTGTCTGCCCCTGTGGGAGCTCCATATTGAGATCAAGGCTAAAGATGAATTTACAAATAATCATATCAAATGATGTTAATATAGACATTTTATAATAATCAAATAGGTACTGCAAATTTGGCTACTATATCCTTTTATCACTTTAAATAAAAATTGTGTTTACATGTAAATAGAACTTGAATGTCTTCAGAACACCTTTGGATACTTTAATGATGATTTTAAAGTATTTTTCTTGAGTTCAAATAGTGATCAATAGAGGTGGTATAATATTGGAATAGAAAAGCTGACTAAAGACTGAGACATAATCTAATGCACTAAACAAAAGAGCAAAATAATCATCATCTGTTGTACTCTATTTTCTGGATATTATTTGTCTCCTTTACTGTGAAGGCAAATTAATAAACTGTCAAAAAATTCAAAGATAAATGTAGCCTTAACACCCAGATTCAGTTCCTAAATTCTTTTAGTAGGAACCAGGATTTTCTTTCTTCTTCTTTGAATTAAAATTTTTAAAGATTTTTTCATTTTATTTATTTTAGATTTAGTTTTTTATGCTTTAAATGTTAGGTATAACTTTTCACTTATTAAAAATAGATTTTCTCATATAATATACTTTGATTGTAGTTTCCGCATGGTCCACTCCTCCCAGTTCCTCTCTCCTTCCCACCTCCCCTCTCCTCTGCATCCCTTCCTTTTCTGTCTCTCATTAGAAAAGAATAGGCTTCCAACAGAAGAAAAAGAGCCCTAAGAGAAGGTGCAAAGATCAGAGCTCGTTCACACACCCAGGAGTCCCATAAAGACACTTAGCTGAGAGCTATAATATATACACAGAGGACCTGTTAGAGACCTGTGTAGGCTGTGTCGTTGCTGTTTCAGTCTCTGTGAGGTTATACAGGCCCTGTTCAGTTGATTCAGAGGTCCTTGAGGAACCAAGGATTTCAACCAACTACACAGCTGAGGTTTAAAATATTTAATGCAGCTCCCCAAGTTCACATCACCCAAGTGAAAGAGATTTGTTTGTTTACTGCTACAGGAAGGTTTTAAAGACAAAATTTTCAATCCATAGTAGTGCTTAGTAGTACTATGCTCCAGTCCAGGACCTCACATATATTAGGCAAAAACACTTAGCCACACTCTAACATTGTTTCATCAAATTTTAGACCCTCTATTAAATCAAGATTATTCAAAAGCACTAGACTAACAACACCTTACCCAGCTTCATCTGCCATTTCCTGAAGCAGCATATCCACTTGGTTCTGAAATAAAAAAAAATGAATTCATATTATTGTCTTATTACCTTTTGGGTGGGTTTTGGGTGTGTGTAGTTTGGCTTTGGAAACTGACCTACAATTTTTAAAATAGGAGCTACAGAGATGGCTCAGCAGTTCAGTTTCTAGTAGCCATGTCCAGAGGCTCACGTCTCTCTTTAATTCCCAAAACGGGGGGGGGGCGGTATACTACCTCTGTCTTCCACAGACACACGTATTCACTGGTACACAACTACAAACATAATTAAAGGGAAAATTAACAAATATTTTGGAAAAAAGCCCAACTCACTGTTCTGCAAAACTTTTAAAACAAACCTTTGAAAAATACTTTCCTGCCACAAGAGGGCGCTGAACCATCTCAGAGAGCCACATTCTAAACTTTAAGCATTTTAACTTGTCTGAACAATATTGGCAGACAGATTCATATATAATTCACATCTGAGTAATATAACACTCTAAGGGAGTGATCAAACTTAGAAATCCCAATAATAATCCATTTTAGTTATGTGTAATAGATTTAAATTTAGCTTAGATTTATTATTCTGCAAAACCACAAATAAGACATTAAAATTACTTTTCAGAAAGAAATATCAGTAGACAAAATATACCTAAAGTCTGTACCTATGGCACAGAACCCTATGAGGGTTCAATTATGGGCTTAATTAATTGTAGAACAAAAGCATTCTGAGTAGAAACTGACTTTTCATCTTGTTATCATTCCAACAACCCAGAAAGCTGTTTACTTAGAACTTACATTGTGCTAGACATTACATGTAATCAAGAGGTGATTTAAATAATATGAGATCTACATATTCTACATATAGACAACAGAACTACAAACAGGGAATCTGAGCATCATTGGGTTTTGATGTCTAATAGAGATAGTGGAGCTAATCACATAGGGATTTCTGGTTATTTTGTTGTTGCTGTTGCTTTCGTGAGATAGGGATTTCACTATGTAACTTAGCGTGGTCTGTAATTCCTGAAACTCGAAGCTCACTGGTTTCCAGCTTCCAAGCACTGGGCTTACGAGTACACACCATCAAAGCCAGTCCGATTGTAAAACATTTACTGTGGTTGAGGAGTTCTCAGGAAATACAGTATGCTTAATCAGAAACCTCTTCTCATTTTAACATAGTTATTAAAAATATTTTGAATATGCAAGAAGAAATTCTAAAATGTGGACACAGTTTAAAGCAAAAGATAAATATTCCTGTTGGGACTTTCCTTCCTCTTATTCTTTCAACTACTACAGAAATGTTTCCAAATATAGAAAAGTTTCAAAAAATAATACAAAAACAATCTCTGTCTTTTAAAAACTCCATCTGTAAAGTATTACTGTGTCCTGAAATTTAAATATTGTATTGTATTATTCTACAGCTTACCTTCCTTAATCTTGTAAGATTTAAATTTTTGCTATCTATATATTTAGTTCATCCAATGTAACTCTTTTCTGGACACTTGCAAAATCTAAATACATTAAATTTAGCAAATATACTCAATTTCTGGACATTTACTTTTTTATTAATTTCTATCACAGGCAATGGTCAAATATTCGTGTGTGTGTGTGTGTGTGTGTGTGTGTGTGTGTGTGTGTGCGTGCGCATCTTTGTTCACATGCCAGGAAATTCTTGGTGCATGAACTTGAAGGTGGAACTCCTGGATTATAGGGTATGTATATTTCCATTTACCCAGCTATTGAAGGGAGCAGGCAAAGGACCTTGATTTGAGTACTGCCACTTTACTTCAAATTACCTGCAGGGTGAAGTAAAGTTCAGGTTCCCAAGCCCTAGGGGTGATGTGGGAGTGTCAAATACCAATCTGTTTATTTCATTGGTTAAGCAATAAAGAAACTGCCTGGCCCTCATAGGTTAAAACATAGGTGGGTAAGTAAACAGAACAGGATGCTGGGAGAAAGAAGCTGAGTCGAGGAGTCGCCATGATTCTCCCACTCCAGGCAGAAGCAGGTTAACATCATTCCTGGTAAGCCAGCTCATGGGCTACACAGATTATAAGAAATGGGCTAGTCCAGGTGTGAGAGTTAGCCGAGAAAAGGCTAGATATAATGGGCCAAGCTGTGTTTAAAAGAATACAGTTTCCGTGTAATTATTTCTGGGCATGAGCTAGAGCTAGCCATGTGGGTGGCCGGGTGCCAGGGATGCAGCCCCACCGTTCCTATTACAACAGAGTGGCGCCCAGCGTGGTAAAGAACTTCACGTAAAACCTGAGAGAGCTTAATTTTAATCAGAAAAAAAAAACAGACTTTAACACAGCTTTTGGCTGTTAGTTGGTGACTAGCTGTAGAGAGATTTCCTGATTCCGCATCAGCAGCAGAAAAAACGCTGCATCATTTTAAAGCCCGGCTTCTTGGGGCTGTTCTGTCAGCGTGAACTCTGGCTTTAAAGCATTTCAATGGATTTTATGGGACTGGATGTTGGTGTTCCCACTTGGGATCGGAAGGAGAGTGCTCTGAGCCTGTGCCTATGGCTCAGCACTCCCTGCCTGCACCTGGGCAGACAGCCGAATCAGGCTTAGGCAGGTGGAAGGGCATGGCGTGTTTTCAGACTGCGCAGTGCTCTGCCTGTCAGATTTGGCTGTAACTTGGATGAAAAGAATTTCTGTGCTGCACGCTAAGTCTCAGAATTAAAGTGCTGAGTGCCACTCCTACCTGGTGGCCCCAGAGCTAGCACAAAATGGTATGTCCTCCATTTTGAAATTTTCCTGACTCAGCAGCAGGAAAAAAAACTGGCTGTTTTAAAATGCTGGCTTTCTGGGCTGTGCCACCATCGCAATCTCTGTCTGGTTCCTGCAGGAGACAGAGCTTTTGAATGGAGCATTTGGAGTAAAGTGCTACGATTTGTTTGATGGCAACTAGACTGCTGTGTGCCTAAAAGGGGGACATTGCGTGCCGCAGCTCAGAGGCACAAGCAGCTCTGCCATGCTAGTGGTGCAATGTGCAAGGATCAGAGGCACAAGTGGCTCCGCCATGTTGGACTGGGCGGGGCCAGCAGGCAGTACCAGTTTTTGACCTAGGAATGTCACAGCTTAGATTCTTAAGCGCCTAATGATTTAAAGGCGCAAATCAAAAGTGCTCCTGGATAGTAAAAAATTGCAGATTCACAATAGGACAGATTCAAACATAAAAGACTACACTGTTGGATGAATGTATGTAGGCTTGAGAGAGAGAAGAAAAAGAATATAGAGAATAAAGTTAATGGTTTTTAAAAAAAGGTAAAGTCTTTAAAGAGACAGAGTACAGTTAGTTAAGAGATTAAAAGAAATAAAGAAAAATAAGTCATGTAAAAATGGAAAATTCACAGAGTCAGGATTATGTACATTGTGTTTTCTTTTAAATTTTTGACTGTAAAGGAGCTAAGTACAGAGAGACATTTCATTACATGGGCTGCCAAGCTAAACCAGAATGGATATAAGGGTATTACGATTTCAAAATTTGGGTCTAAGGATATGATGCTTTGGAGAGTGTCTTCTTTTGTTTTCACAGAGGACCAGACCCTGTGGATTGCATCTATCCCGATATGGTATGATAGACCACGACCTCCCGAAAAGTTCCTATGAACACCCTCAAAAAATTACTTCACTCATCTGCCAACTGACATAAACCTGGTACACAGGTTACACCCTAAATGATCTGATTAACAGTGCCCCCATTCAGCAGGAAGCAGTTTGGAGAGAAAAAACTGTGCCCATGTTCCCAAAATATTGTTTATAAATGTTCTTTTACATTTAAAGGGGGAAATAATATAGGTATGAATAATTTGCATTTGTGTGGATTTTAAGGTCAATTTTGTTATATGTATATGTATTTCTGATATTGATTAAGGTATTGTGATTGTGTAGTTCTTTTAAAATGTAATGTATAATAAGAAATATAGGTTGCTAATGGATAATCATCAATGATAGTAAAGCTTGTAGTCATGTTACTTAGATTTTCTAGATATATAGAGATATATTTCAGATAGGCATTCTTCATATCTCTCAAAGGCTACAGAATATGGCATTTAAAATATTTCAATAACTTAGGACTTTTCATGACAATGAGACATATCTGCTCCTGGAGGCACCAATCTACGTCGAGAGGAAGATGGGCATCAAAGAGGATCCTTATGGAGTTTGATAGCCATTTGGGCAAGAAACTGTTCTTGCCTGGACTGTTGCATAAACTGGACAAAGAGAACCCCCAGAGAGAGGACTGCTGAACTTGCCTAAAGGTGAGATGGTCTTTCGGGGTTCCTGACTCATGAAAGAGTCTGCGAGACATTCTGCAGGATACAGCAGAAAGTGACTGAACTGTCTTTGGAATTTCCTGCTTGATGAAAATGTCTGCTGGATACTATGGGCCTGAAGGCTGAAGATGGATGCCCCAACGGTACAAAAGAACTTTGGGTGACTGTCCAGGCAGCGAGATGTCTCTGTTATTTGTAGAGTTTTCTTATTTCTTGTTTACTTAGGTAGTATTATATCCTTCTGGAATCTTTGATGGAGTTGAAGAATGAATAGATAGTTATAGTTTTCCTTAGTTATGATAAAAGATAAAATAGATATAAATATTGTAACTGTAATTCTTGCTTGATAACTGTTTTGCTATATGTAATTTTGCTATGTTAAAGTTAAAGCCTTCCTTTTTTTGTTTAAACAGAAAAAGGGGAAGTGATGTGGGAGTGTCATATATCAATCTGTTGATTTCATTGGTTAAGCAATAAAGAAACTGCCCTGCCCTCACCTCATAGGTTAAAACATAGGTGGGTGAAGTAAACAGAACAGGATGCTGGTAGAAAGAAGCTGAGTCGAGGAGTCGCCATGATTCTTCCACTCCAGGCAGATGCAGGTTAAGATCATTTCTGGTAAGCCAGCTCGTGGGCTACACAGATTATAAGAAATGGGCTAGTCCAGGTGCAAGAGTTAGCCGAGAAAAGGCTAGATATAATGGTCCAAGCGGTGTTTAAAAGAATACAGTTTCCGTGTAATTA